AGTTATCACATTCAGGCAAAGTATGTTTGTTTGTTTTAAAGCAAAGCCACATTGGCTATTCGCTCTGTCCGTCGCGGGGAATGGACCCCCTGATTTGAACGTTCTAAGTCCGGAAGCTTACTGCTGTCCCACCGGGCAACAGAAACAATCACATCAGAATCTGGTATAAATCTGTAACTATAACATTCCAACCAAGCATGAATGCATGAGTAATTAATTAAATCCCGATAAAACAAGGGGTTGTAAACTCTTAAATCTTAATCGGGTACAAATCTATAAGCCTTCAGATCGTATCAAATATGAATTAGTAAACCATCAAATACTAGCTACATACGCATGAATCTGTAAATCTTAACCAGGTATAAATTCGTAAACACTCAAGTCCAGTAAAGAAACGAATCTCTGAATCCTCAAAATACAAGTACCAACTAAGTACGAATTCTCAGACCCTCAAATACCGACCAAGAATGTAATTGCATCTTTACGATCAGTCAAGATGTAGAACTATTTCGAACAGCCTACTCACCAAGTTGATGTACCACGTATTTAGCAAAGGATCAAGGAACCACACACGGTGCCGAAGCTGATGATTTATTGAAATTTACGTCCTTTTAGACACGCCTGCCTTAGGCTCTGCCACTTCTGCTAAGCCTGTTTGTACACATCACGAGAGACCCACCTCTGCGGAGCCTCCAACAGGATAATAATTATGAAGTCATTGCAAATTTCCCTTCGTGACATCGAATTAAAAGGGTTGTTATTAGGAAGCGATGAAGGGCCCACCGCGACGCCGGAAGGTTGTACGATTGGCGGTACGGGTGTGATAATACTGTCAGTGAGACGGGCTTGTCCGCATCCGTCTCCTCCATCCACTTACTTTGGCCAGAAATTCTGGTAGAGGTGTACACGACCCTCCATCATGGCGTGATAAGATCACAGTTATACAGAACCAGAACGAACAATTCGTCTTTTTTGCAATATGGCTAGCACAACTCCCGCCCTTCTTCTTGGCGAATTTTTGTAAACCCAGCAATCACCCAACAGATATGACGTCAACAAGCATAAGAGGTCACATGATAATCATTACAGACATGTAGGTATATATTTCTTTCTGACAGTGACGTCCAGCGCTGCCTTAACTAGAACAAAAACAGAATGTTTTATGTTTTGATTGAGGATACACCCCGTCCAGTATGATGAACGTGTCATATACTTATCATATGCTCTGTACGTTGCATCATAATACAGAGAAAGGGGAGAAGAGGAGGGAGAGGGGAAGTAGTTAGATATTAGAGTGAGGTGTGAACCCAAAGTGGGCTAGTCTTTGTTGGTGTTACCGTCTCGAATTTGAAGACTAATGGCAGTTATAATCACTACGGGCCTAGTTATGGCCCCTTACTCTTATTATTGTTCAAGTGATAAATTAATAGGTGGACAGGTTTATACCATAAAGATACAAACGAATGTAAACATATAACGTGGGAAAGGTACAAATATTATACGAAAAGTGGGTCCACGGGTGACAACAGGTCAATCATATATCGTTAACTCCTTTTAGGCCTAAAGTGCCTGTTGTTTATTTCGGTCATTCGTCGTTATTATAAGAGGTATTTTCAAATAAATAAATAATTTCAAAATATAAAATTACTAAAAGTATTAGAAATAACAACCATCTAATTGTATTGCCTCTCACGAAATATAAACAAATAGGATCAGTCTCCTAAAAAATACCTATGAAAAACAGTTTTATTACTTATTAATTACATTATTACTGAACCATTTGGTAAATAAAATTATATTTTAATGTTTAGCGCCAACCATAAAATGTTTGGTTTTAATTTGCATATTACAGAGGTTGATTTTTTTATTTACATAATATTGTAAAACAAAAGTACCATAATAATTATTCAGACGATATATTACATAAGTATTAAAATACCCATAAAACACCGTGTATATAATATATGTTGGCATTGCTAGTGGGTTTACAAAACAAATTGTTCACAAGTATGGTTTACACTTTAAGACAACGTTAAAAAAAGGAAAGTATTACCTCAATGTGCTCGGGACGTATCCCATAATCATTACTAATAATAGAAACTGAAGGAAAGTAATTACCTCAGTGTGCTCGGGGCGTATCCCATAATCATTACTAATAATAGAAACTGAAGGAAAGAATTACCTCAGTGTGCTCGGGGCGTATCCCATAATCATTACTAATAATAGAAACTGAAGGTAAGTGTTACTTCATTGTGATCGGGGAGGTTTCATGATCACTAACAAACAAATAAACTGAAGGAAATCATTACTTCAGTATGTTTGGGGCGGTCTCATGATCATTAACAAACAAAGAAACTGAAGGAAATTGTCCCTTCAATAAGGTCGAGGCAGTTTCTGATCATTAAAGTTCGAAAAAAATGAAAAAAAGTATTACCTTAATGTCCCCAGGCTTTCAGTCTCCTGATCATTACCAATAAAAGAAACTGGTGTTTCTAGTTCGAATCACGAAGAATTCCGTGTATAATAATATTACATAAGTATCATTAAATTAAAATGTGAACGAACCATGATACGCCCCGAACACATTGAGGTAATACTTTCCTTCATGTTTATTTGATAGTTATGATTATGGAACCGCTCCGATCAGGGTGAGGTAATAAGTTTCATCAGAGGTTTTATTAGTAATGATCAGAAATCTTCTTTTGACACCTCAAGGTAATACTTTCCTTCATGTTTATTTGATAGTTATGATTATGAAACCGCTCCGATCAGGGTGAGGTAATAAGTTTTTTCAGAGGTTTTATTAGTAATGATCAGAAATCTTCTTTGGACACCTCAAGGTAATACTTTCCTTGAAGACTACTCCATGCGAATACGTGATTCTGTGAACTCATTTCGGGAAACTATGATAAGCATATATATATCCTGGCAGTAATAAGAAAGATCCATTGTTGTCATCTGTTTATGATCTTCTTACAGTTTCAACAAGCGATAGACGAGTTGATAAACCACTTGACTGGCATCACTGACTGGTAAGATATCTGCAAGTCGCTGATCTGTGTTGTTGTAGCTCAGGTTAAAGTATATAGGATGTTGTTTTTTAGCATTAGTGCGGATTTTGCTTACAAAAAAGTTAAACCTTTTTTTATTTCAACAAAACATTTTATAGAAGAGGAATTAGTTTTAAAGTAAAATATAACGAACATGGAATAAATCATGTCAGTGTGACTTCTATAGTTTATCATTATTTGGTTATGCTAAAGTAAAATATAACGAACGTGGGATAAATCATGTCAGTGTAACTTCTATAGTGTATCACAATTAGGTTATGCTAAAGTAACATATAACGAACGTGGAATAAATCATGTCAGTGTAACTTCTATAGTTTATCACAATTAGGTTATGCTAAAGTAAAATATAACGAACGTGGGATAAATCATGTCAGTGTAACTTCTATAGTGTATCACAATTAGGTTATGCTAAAGTAACATATAACGAACGTGGAATAAATCATGTCAGTGTAACTTCTATAGTTTATCATTATTTGGTTATGCTAAAGTAAAATATAACGAACGTGGGATAAATCATGTCAGTGTAACTTCTATAGTTTATCATTATTTGGTTATGCTAAAGTAAAATATAACGAACGTGGGATAAATCAGGTCAGTGTAACTTCTGTAGTTTATCATTATTTGGTTATGCTAAAGTAAAATATAACGAACGTGGGATAAATCAG